CACATGGACAGTCTTACTACTGGCTTCCTGAGGACGGTTCTTGCCCCACACGTAGTGAGAAGCGAGGCAATGTACAGGAAGGGCTGGAAAGGGTTCATTCTCAACGCAGGGCGGCCGATACACGGGATTCACGCACATTTTATTCCTCGGGCGTCATAATATGGGACGGGAGCCCGCGGGGCCACAGAGCCACCGGCCACCCCGTCCGGGATGCGTGTCGAAGAGACCCTTCTTGTGGGTGGTGATTCTGCGGGAACGCGGGCTGGATTCCACCGCCTCACCGCACGCTGCGCAGGGAATGTTGTGACAGGAAGGCGACACGTCCTTCAGCCGGAAACAAGAATCCGATCTTTGGGACAGTCTTGAAGAACACATGGACAGTCTTCCTACTGGCTTCCTGAGGACGGTTCTTGCCCCACACGTAGTGAGAAGTGAGGCAACATGCTGGAAAGGGTTCATTCTCAACGTGGGGCGGCCGATACACGGGATTCACGCACGTTTTATTCCTCGGGCGTCATAATATGGGACGGGAGCCCACGGGGCCACAGAGCCACCGGCCACCCCGTCCGGGATGCGTGTTCTCCGCAAGGTACCGCCCATCGAGGAGCAGCAGGAGCCAGGGTGACTTCTCCCGGCACGCCGTGGGGGCGGGGCTCCTGAGTGTCCAGAAGAAAGGCCCCATTTCTCATACTTGTAGGAAGTTATTTAAAACCTCAGGGGATAATGGCTTTCACTCATCGACTGAATGGACAGCCACTGTTGGAGGCGCGAGGCCGCGGCAGCGGAAAGACAGAGAAGCGGCAGGGGACGCTTCCCAGTGTCTGCTTCCGATCCTCCCGTGTCTCCTGAGTTCTAGCCCCCGGTTCGGCTGTTGAATGGACCGGCCAATCCCCGTGCAGCGCATCGCCCCCTCCCTCCCCCCTGGCTCCCTGCTGCCTCGGTGAGTTCCACCTGCACAGGGACATCTACCCAGGCCCCGCCCCAGACCCTCCGTCCGCCTCTGGTCACACCGAGGACCCAGCCCCGAGTCTCCTACGTACGAAGTGTGTCTTCGTTCTGAATGTTCTTCCGTAGTTTTCCCTCCTCTGCCTGAATCTCAACCTTCACCAGGAGCCACTTAACCCTTTGTACGCTGTAAGCGTCTATAGACGCAATTAAATTCAAAATATTGTGGCTGTGGGGATGGTTTCCGTTTTGGACCCGTGACAGTGAACTGACAAAACCAGTCTTTTCACGGGTTTCATGGATGCCATTTCTGTCTTATCCCAGGCATCTTTTCCAGCACACGCAGAGCAACATGCTGGGTCCACGTCCGGGTCTCCTCCAGGGGGCAGCACTGGTGTCTCACTCAGGCTGGCTCTCCGCATCCTACTCACCTTCCCTCAAAGAGCAGAGATGAGTGCCTGGCCGGCAGTGCTCAGTGGTTGAGCATCAACCTGTGAACCAGGGGGTTTGATTCCTGGTCAGGGCACAGGCCTGGACTGCGGGCTCGATCCCCAGTAGGGGGCGTACAGGAGGCAGCTGATCCATGATTCTCTCTCATCATCGATGTTTCTCTCTCTCCCTCTCCCTTCCTCTCTGAAATCAATAAAAAACTAAAAAGAAAAAAAAAGAGCAGAACTGAGCAAGGCCAGTGTGCGACTCTGGAAGGAGAGACCAGTGTACACGACACACCCTTCTCCTGCCCGTGGCCGGGGAGCTGCCCACCTGAGCACAGGCTGGTCACACCTGTGAGTGGCGGAGTCCCTCCACCTGGGTCAGCACTGCAAGCCGCACCTGCCCTCTGAGGCGAACCACCTCGGAGGTGCTGCCTGGTTTCTGATCTCCGACGACTGGAAGACCCTTTCGAAAGGCTCGACACCCAAGCAGAGAAGGAAAACCCACCGCCTACCACAGAGGTCTCATGAACACAAAAAACCTCTCCCATATTCCAACCTCCCCACTGGTCCCCTGGACACCTAGTGGGCGTAACTCAAACCCCCAGCTTAGCACGCACGTCTCTGGAGCCCACACACAGGTGCAGCCGCATCTCCTGCCCCCGCATCCCTCCGCACATTCCGCCCGGTCTGACCTCCCAGCATCTGATCCAGCCGCATAGAACTCCTCACCTCTGTCTGCGCGCATAGGGCCGTGTGTCAGCTCAGACTTTTGGGTGTGACATTCCTGCTAGGAGAGAAACTCCTACTCCATCTGTGAAACCCAGGCCAGACGTGCCCTCTGATTAGCACACCCTGTGGCCGCGTGTGTATTTCCACGCCTGCTTCTCCCATGAGCCTCTGAGGCCCTGATAGGCACAGACTCTCATGCTCCCTCGTCTCGTCTCCCCGTGCCTGTGCCCACCACCTCGCCGGACACTACGAAACGCCCCCTGCACGATGCAGAGGGAGACAATGAACAGCAGAAATCCCAACGGAAAAGGCCCATTTCCGCAGTGAGATGGAAAGCGCAGCTCTTCGTTTACAAAGAGGAGAGCACGCATGAATTAAGGAGGCTGTTGACAACTTTCTAAAGACAGCTTTTTTTTTTCCCTAATAGAGCTTTTAAAGTGACTGCAAAATGCCTGCTGAATCTAACAGTGTGTGCTGAGCAAGTTGCATAATTTCCCTGCTGCTCCCACCTCCACCCCCTCTCCACCTGGCTACCCCGCCTCCTCCGAGCTCAGTGCCAACCTGCTTCCTCCGAGGCCTCCCTGGACGCCCCGACGGTGCTGGGCGCTTCCCCGGCATCTAACTGCCCCCGGCACAGTCTACTGAAACGGGCGTCTCCCGTCCATCCATTGCTGGAGGCCAGGCTCCCATCTGCCTCTTCGCCGCCTCATCCTCAGAACCCAGCTCCGTGCCTGGGGTAGCAGGACCTCGGAGGTTAGTGAGCGCACAGCCCTGTGCAGTGAGGGGCCTGGCCTCTACCGGCGGTGGGCTCGGGGAAGGAACCGGTCAGGGAGGAGGCAGGAACACGGGGGAGCTAAATGACTGACAGGCGAGCCGGCGAGAGACTTGCCGGTTGAACCCGACTCAGCTTTCGCTCTGGTTTGGGTGATGTGCAGAGTAGGAAGCAGCGGCCGAGTTTCTGGAGAACAGAATGCAATGCACTCGTTGCTCTCGCTCTTCTCCCTGAACCCAGTTAATGAATAAACAAACCACGCTGTGACGGTGCCTACGTGTCACGGAGACATCCAGACGAGAAGTGACAGCCCAGGCCATCGTCCAGCTACTTGAAAACATCCATCTTGATGGCATTGAGCATCTGGAAGTTTCCAGATACCGAGATGCGTGAACAGAATGCAATGCACTCGTTGCTCTCGCTCTTCTCCCTGAACCCAGTTAATGAATAAACAAACCACGCTGTGACGGTGCCTACGTGTCACGGAGACATCCAGACGAGAAGTGACAGCCCAGGCCATCGTCCAGCTACTTGAAAACATCCATCTTGATGGCATTGAGCATCTGGAAGTTTCCAGATACGGAGATGTCTTGCAGATCTGCTACCCCGAGGCCTGTTCGCGCGTCTCCCTTATCTGTTTCACACATTTGCATGCAAGTGTCTCTTCCGCCTCAGACACTAGTGTCTTTCAGCTCAGCGAGAGCAGGAAGTCACAGACAGAGCTAGGGTGTTTTTTGGTTGTCGTTATTTTTTTAAATAACTTTTATTCAGATTTTTGGTATCTCTGTATTGATTTCAGAGAGGAAGGGAAAGGGAGAGAGAAACATCCATGATGAGAGAAAACCAGTGATTGGCTGCCTTTTGCACACCGCGAGTGTGGGGATCTAGCCTGCACCCAGGCATGTGCCCTTGACTGGAATCGAACCTGGGACCATTCCGCAGGCCGATGCTCTATCCACTGAGCCAAACCGGCGAGGGCGGTTATTGTTCTTAAAGAATCTCTGATGGAGAGAAACGCTTTTCTTTTATGACCCTTTCCATAAATAAGAGAGTTAACCATCATTTACACAGTGTGTGTCAGAAGGTGAAGGATCCGCAAAGGGCGGGAGCTTCCATGGTCCGCGGCCACAGACACACTGCGTGCGGGAAACATGACACGGAAGGTCTCTCCCGGCGGCTCCCCTTCGGCTGGAACGCTACAACAGCGCTTCCGCTCTCGCCCCCACGTGAGAGCCTTTCTCCTCCCTCCGCGGTCGGTGTGTCCGTCCAGAGGAAAGAGCCGAGTTCAAACTTCCTAACTGGAAGCTTCTAGTGGTGGCTGGACAGGGGGACGGTGCTCCCCATAGATTCTGTTTCTGCCCATTAGACCCCCTTGATCAGAATCACTGAAGACTGGCTCTTACAACAGCTCTGTCGCACTTCCTTACGCTAGGTCTCACTGAAGAGAAAGCCATTCCTTATTTTCTCTTATTACTTAAAAATGTTTTGTTTTTTAAGACTGGCTCTTACAACAGCTCTGTCGCACTTCCTTACTCTAGGTCTAACTGAAGAGAAAGCCATTCCTTCTTTTCTTTTATTACTTAAAAATGTTTTGTTTTTTATTATTGATTTTAGAGAGAGGAAAGGAGAGGGAGAGGGAGAGAGAGAAGCATCAATGATGAGAGAGAATCATGGATCGGCTGCCTCCTGCACGCCCCCCACTGGGGATCCAGCCCGAAACCCGGGCCTGTGCCCTGACCGGGAATCGAACTGTGACCTCCTGGTTCAGGGGTAGACGTTCAACCACTGAACCACGCCGTCTGGGTGAGAAAGCCATTCTTACAGAACAAATAAGGCAAACATTTGAACAAAATAAAACACGTATTTTGATTATCGGCTTAAATGGAAGATGAATGTTCTTTTCCAATCCCCCCTCTAAAAATAATCCTGTATAATAAGCATTAAATGCTATTTCTAAGCCTCTTAAATCAAGATTTCTTGCATTCCCTACCAGAAGAAGGAAATAAATGTTCGAGTAAAAAAATAAACAAACAACCACAACCCCCGGAAAGAAGCCCGGAGCCACGGCGGCGCCATAAGAACAGACCACGGCCCAGCCCGTGTCCACTCCGCCTCTGTACCTTGAGGGTCGCTCAGGACCGAGCCGAAGGCGCTGATGACCACGTCGGCTTTCAGCTGCACCCGCTGCTCCTCGTCCTCCCGCCAGGCCCCGGCCTCGTCCTGCTCCGTCCGCACGAACTGCATGCCCACAATCTTCCCGCCTTTGACCAGGACCTTCCGCGGGGACAGGAAGGGCAAGAATTCACACTTCTCTTCCTTCGCCAGCTCCATCTAAAGGAAGCAGAACAGAGGGAAAGCGCCGTGAGCATGCTTCTCCTCCATGGCACGCTGGATTTGTCACTCCCATGGTGCCGCCTAGCGCGGATGCCGTTCAAGTCAACATGAGCCCTGACCCGTTTGGCTCAGTGGACAGAGCGTCGGCCTATGGACTGAAGGGTCGATTCTGGTCAAGGGCACGTACCTTGGTTGCAAGCTGGATCCCTGGCCCTGGTTGGGGCATACGCAGGAGGCAACCAATCGATGTGTCTCTCTCACATTGATGTTTCTCTGTCTCTCCCTCTCCCTTCCACTCTCTCTAAGAATCAGTGGAAAAATAACCTCCACCGATTAACAACAGTGAGGATTAACAACAACGAATGAAGAATGAATGAATGAATGAATGAAGCAACGTGAAGTTTTTTCCTATCGCCAAAGCTGAGACTCAGTTATCTGCTATTTCCATTTTCCAGCTCACTGCCTGGGAGGGCCCTGAACGGGAGCTGCCCTGTGGGGCTTAGAGCTCATGGCACTGCCAGGTGTTTCTCGAGCTGGGGGCACTGTGTGCCTGCCCTACGGGGCGTGTGCGTGTGAGGCTCCCGACTACAGCAGCCTGGTCTCCACGCTCTCACGTCTGCAGGTTGCATCCTCTCTTCACTCCTGCTGACGTTCACCCCGGTGCACACATATAAGCCGGAGAAAAAGTCAAGCCCGCAGGTGGGCCCTCTGTGCCGAGGACACAGGACCAGAAGGGTGGGCGGGAGAACGAAGCCTAAAGGAACTCCGTGGCCTGAGGACAGGGTGTGTCTCACTTCGGTAGAGGAATCACGAGACAAAAGCATGCCCTCTTGAAGAAGCCCGGCTTCCCCTCTTCCCTAACTCCTCCTGCCTGGGGCGGGACACCCTCGTTTCTGTTGATTATCACGCCCATCAGGATGTTTATGGGACAGAATGCAAATGAGAGCTTGTCTGCACATTTTCCTATTTACTGTTTTTTTGGGGGGGAATTCGGGCCTTTGTCAGCGTGGTCGTAACTAGTAGGTGGAGAATTCTTCATCAAACAGGTGAAAACACCGTCCCCAGGAGGGGGCTGGGGGCTGGGTCTGCTCTCGCCCTCCCCTGCGGCCGGCCGACAGGTGGAGTCTCAGTAGGACCCTGACAAGGGAGGCAAAGAGGCTGTGCGTGAGGTTCCAAACTAGGAAGGATCTGAGCCACAGGGGGATGGAAAACCAGGGTCAGAGCTTTTGAAAACCTTTGTCACGGCCACGAGTGCTCAGCATCTTCGTACGAACGCGTGTCCCTGGCATGCATATTTTTTAAATATATATTTTTATTGACTTCAGAGAGGAAGGGAGAGACAGAAACATCAGTGGTGAAAGAGAATCATGGATCGGCTGCCTCCTGCACGCCCCCCACTGGGGATCGAGCCCGCAACCCGGGCCTGTGCCCTGACGGGGAATCGAACCGTGACCTCCTGGTTCCTAGGCCGCGCTCACCACTGAGTGACACGGCCGGGCTCCATGGTACACGTATTTATTCATTTGTGTGATGGCACCTGTCCTCCGCACAGACAGCGGGTGCATGAACCAATGAACAATGAAGCTCGTCCTTGGCTCCATCAATAACGACTCGGAGGAACACAGGACACATCCAGGACGTTCCATTTTTGAGGTCCAATGAATCCACCTGCTGCTTAATTTTCATACCCTGAGAGGAAGTGGAGAAAAAATTCTTCTTATCTTGGATGTGTACCTGCACGTTCACGGAGGCGCTGTGGCCGATGCCGAGTGGCCTAAAAATAGAGTGCTCCAGCAGGCCAGCACGACCATCGTTTTAATGATTAGCTTTATGCAACGGGATGATTTGGTCTGATTAATATTACAGGCATCACACTGTGGAAATGATGACACAACTTAATTTACCATAATTACCAGCATGATGACAGTTCTCTGTTAGGTCGCATATAGGGCAGGGAAGCACAGGTTCTAACCTCTAGCGAGCAGCACGCAAAGCCAGGCTAGCATACATTAAATTCTAACATGCTGGCCCGGCGGCATGGCTCAGTGGTTGAGCATCAAGCTCTGAACCAGGAGGTCACAGTACGATTCCCGGTCAGGGCACAGGCCCGGGTTGCGGGCTGGATCCCCAGCCGGGGGCGTGCAGGAGGCAGCCGATCGATGATTCTCTCTCATCATTGATGTTTCTGTCTCTCTCTCCCTCCCTCTCCCTTGCTCTCTGAAATCAATCAAAACATGTTTTTTAAAATTCTAACATTCATGTCATCATCAAGCACTGAAGGCGGGCGTACTTCCTGTCTTAGTCCCAGGGAGTCCCCGAGGACCGTTCATTAACGCTGGGCCCTTGGGGCGATGCGTGTGTGTGTGTGTGTGTGTGTGTGTGTGTGTGTGTGTGTGTTTGCAGGCACCTTTGAATCCCATCTTGCTGACAGGCCTCCCATCACGCTCCCTGCAGGTCCCGCTCCATGGCAGGTGCCGCATGTGCAAGGAGCCACGAGGAGCAGTGCCCTTACCAAGAAAAATGAAATTTGCCAGCTCAGACAGGTTATTGGCTAAAAATAGTGCCAGCGTCATAGTCCTTATCGTTAAGTGAAGACAGAAAGGCACCCGTGACTGGTGGGGAAATGCATGTGTAGCCAGCATGATGCAGATGAGGAGAGCCTGAATGCAGCTCGGCCAGGACCACTCGATGTGGATGATGTCCGAGGGGCACCTGGTGTGCCTGAGGTTGCAGGGGAAAGGCACAGGCTTTCACGGAAAGATGTGCTCACAGCCCGGCCAGTGTGGCTCAGTGGTTGAGCATTGACCTGTGAACCAGGAGGACACGGTTCGATTCCCGGTCAGGGCACAGGCCCGGGTTGTGGGCTGAATCCCCAGTGAGGGGCATGCAGGAGACAGCCGATCCATGTTTCTCTCTCATCATTGATGTTTCTATCTCTCCCTGCTTCTCCTCACGGAAAGATGTGCTCACAGCCCGGCCAGTGTGGCTCAGTGGTTGAGCATTGACCTGTGAACCAGGAGGACACGGTTCGATTCCCGGTCAGGGCACAGGCCCGGGTTGTGGGCTGAATCCCCAGTGAGGGGCATGCAGGAGGCAGCCGATCCATGTTTCTCTCTCATCATTGATGTTTCTATCTCTCCCTCCTTCTCCCGTCCTCTCTGAAGTCAATAAAAATATATTTTTAAGAAGACGTGCTATTATTTTAGAGTTGCCTTAACCGATGAAGATATTCCTGAGTAACAGACCAGGCAATCTGGTACTGTTGTTTTTATTATTTAAATGAATAAAGGAGCATTCATGATCAGAACAGCTGAGCTTCTGAATGCTAACCTATATGGAAGCAGACATATCCACCCTAAACCATTGCCATTTCAGCAAACGGAAAGGGGGCAGCCCAGGGCACAGGGAGAGGTCTGGAAGCCCAGGTGAATTAGGGCGGATTAAAGACCTGTCCTGTTTGGCTGCTCTGGGGCAGTCGAATACATGAACAGCAGATTCTTACACTGCCCTTCGTGTGTGGGGCTGAGCTATTAAAGCGGTTTTGTTCCATACTCCTCTCGGTGATAACTAATGGGAACTACAAAGCCCTTCCCCGCCTGCCTCCCTCTCCCACCCTCCACTCCGAGGGGCTGTGCGTCCTGCCCTCCTCCTCCTCCTGGGGACCCCCAGGCCTGGGGGTTCCAGAAGTTCTGTCTGATCTGCCTACAGCTCTTAATGCCCGCGTTTGGGGGGGATTCTGTTATCCTATGAAATGTAATCTCCCGCGTTCGGCGTGCGGGAAGCCCTGGGGGGGATTATTAGCAGATTTCCCCTCGTCTTCGCAGACAGCGCTCACATTGGGCCGGGCTCCCTCGGAACCAGGCGGAGGAGAGAGTCTGTCCGCAGCATCCTACTTAGCCTGTGTGTGCGGCCTTGAGGGGGCCGGAGACGGCTGGGACCGGGGTTCCATCCCTGCGCGAGGACGCTCCCTGTCCTCCTGGGATCAAACCTCCATCCGGCAGGAACGCTGCTGTCCTAAGGAAGATGGAGCGAGCCCCTCCCAGCCGCTGCGGGGACTCTAGTGAGGCAGCTGGGCCCCGCGTGGATGGCACGCAGAGCAGCAGCAGCCATGACCGCCCACCGGGTCACTCGCTCAAAATGCACATTCTTGGGCCCACGCAGCTCCACTGAGTCAGAACCAGGGCCCAGCACGCTCTGTTGCAAACGCCTCCAGGTGGTTCTGATGCAAAGGGGAGCCTGGGGACCCCTGTGTTAGAGAAAGGGGGCGCGGCCATCCCTGCAGCACCAGCTGCACGGAGCCTCCCAGCTCCATCCCCTAAAGCCACGGGGACCCAGTGGTGGTGTGTGTGTGACAGCCTTGCGCTGTGCGTGGTCCCAGCGACTCCGCCTTCGCTGTCGCTGGCCTTCGTAGCCACTCACAGCTGCGAAAGGGGGACTGGATGGAGCCCAGCACAGAGAAGACGGCGACGCGTGAGGCTCAGCCAGGAGCCAGCGGTGCCTCTGAGGTTCTCGTAAGATTAATCGCCACCGCGGTCACTGTCCATGAGACAAATCGCCTGTTGGCTACGGTTATAATTCCTGCCTCGTAGAGAGACTCCAAATATGCTAGGGCATTCCCCGGCAAATCGAACTCATCGTAGGATTTGGGTGCAATGAGCGATTCATCTTCCTCTAAGGACCTCGGGTTCTCGTTCGCAGAACTAGCACCTTCGTGAGGCATCGCCTGCCCTCACAGCAGGAAAACCCGAGGCCGTGGTGCGTGCACCCAGCG